AACCCTCAAAATGTATTCTAACATTTTTTAAAGTTGGAAAATGTAGACATGGCACATTTTAATCTCTAACAYCCAACTGATTCATTTTGGATTCCTGTATTCAAAAAGGTGATTTAAATCAGAGGGTGGAAGGGGTTGGTCATGCTGTGATTTGAGAAAAAACATAGTGTGTGATTTGTGATCAAGACCCCCTTCCAACTCCTGTTGAATTTCAGGCTGATGCTGAATATTTGTTTTATAGTAAATGGCACAAAAATTCTGATGGATTCCAACAAGCAATGACAGAGGAGGACCACAAGATATTGAGATGCGAGGTAGATGCATTACTACTGTAATATCAACTATACAGTGGTTTTAAAATGAGTGCGAAACTGACTGTACTGTACATATAATTTCAATTAAAAGAAAATTTTGAGCATTATCAGATCCTACTCATACRAAAACTGCTCATTAAGCCCATGAAAGCCTATTATGTTCCTTTCTGGCTGATTTTGCAGCATGTGATCCAGTATTTGTTAATCCCAACTCGTTTGATTCCATGAAGGAGGTCCTCAGGCGAGTTGGGAAAGCTGCCAATGTTAAACGTTACCACCCCAACAAAGAAGATGCCCGTCACTGGCTAAGTCTCACAATGGATGGATTACCATACCTTGTTGTGAGAGGAATCATTGATGAAGTGCACATCTGTGCACAATGTGAAAAAGAAGTTATTAAGAGTGACTTTAGCAGTCATGATCTTGTAAATCATAAAGGCCAGATCATAGAGTATGTACGGGAGTTTGATTGGGTTGTTCTGAGAATAGGCAAGCTACATGTAGAAATGAACATGGCTAAAACATTGGTCAACGTAACTTGGGAAGTGTTCTTTTCACAAATGGCAAGTGAGATGGGTTTCAAAACTGAAGCTGCACAGAAATTTGCCCACAAGTGCTCAGACCACCATAAGACTGCGTCCTTGATTGAAATAGCACATGTAGGCATTTGGAGCGAGTTGCTTGTACCTTACGTCAAAGCCAGGCTTGAGGCTGGAGAGAGACTGTCTGTGAATGACTATTTGTATGCATGGATTCCTGACAATGCATTCAAGTGCCCAAGATACAGATTTATGTTTCTTATGGCTTGGAAGTTTTTTAGTGCCTTCAAGATATTCCACATTGGTGTTCGTCGCAACAATGCACGYTATGTTCATGCTGGGCAAATGGCTTTTTCAAGCCTGTTTCACAGATCTTCGGCTTCCAAGTATGCCTTGATTGATTTATATGACAGGTGAGAAACTACTTAGTCACCGTAAATCCTCCAATAAGCCTCCCTCTAAAATTATTGTTACATGACTGTATGTGTATTGAGTATTGCACCATTGAAGCATACATCTAAATTATACATCAATGAAAAAATTGTTAAAAAAAAATGTTTACGTACATAGCAAAAATATTTTTTTTTATTTTACCTGGTGARAATTCACTGTTGTAATTGAATGAATGTTCTATTGATTTCAAAATACATACTCATTGGAATGATATTGATTTCCTTTTTTACATTTTTCTCTTTACTAGWATGGACAGAGCTTCATACCCAGCTGAACTTAAAGCATTTGTAGAAGAAACAGAATCTGTTAGCACCTCGGGCAATCAAAGTAAAGGAGAAGGTATGGATGCCTGTTTGGAAGAGATTAACAAACTGTCCAAAGTGTGGCAACATGGCACAATGAATGCAATAGATTGGCTACGGATTTTTAGAAATCTTTCTCCATTGACAAAGGTATGTAACTAGGCTTTGATGCAGCCAGATACTTATTACATGTTTGTAGCATGCACTTAATCTGTGGAAAACGGATAGTACTAGTCTACATGTACATGTACATGCAGTTTATGCTAAAAARTTTTTATAAGTATGATTTATCACCTAGCTATTTTGTACTATTTGTGTTCACGGGTTAAATGGATGCACAGAACTTCATGTACTCATTCCCACTTTTTTGAAAAGTAAMCTTGACATTACAGTATTCTTACATTCATTTCATAGACATGAGCTACATGTATCTGTCAGTACTCAACAATGACCATTCTAGTATTTGCATTTCAATGTTATCTGTTTTTTTTACTAAGGTTCGAGAAATAGTGACACATATGACTGGCCTTAAAGACCCAAAAGAGGATGATGCTGTCTGCAGGAGAAGATACGATTACCAAGACGAAGTTCTTGCCTGGAGGATAAGACTTAGAAAAGAAAGGTAAGAATATAAATGAACACTCAACAAAAACGAAACCATACAAGTAAAAACATTTGAGGCTATACAATATTAGCTGAACCTACATTGTAATTAAATCAAGGGAGAGTAATAAGTTCAGTAAAGGCATTACAAAATCGTTTTTTATTGTTTTTCTAAACTAAAGCATTTCAACTGTTAACATGTGTCATGAATGTTATAAAGAAAAGCAACTGAATGGYAACCCCTTTGCTTTGCAAATAAATGCTCACAATATTAGAAACTTAAGGTATCAGGAGGGGTTCATTTTAGACATCTTTTCAATTTTTTTTTTTTTTTCCTTAGTTGGAAAGAATATAACATCAACTGTAATATTAGTTTTTAAAAAAGTTGATTTCGATTTTTTAAACGCGATTTATTAATGAAAATCAAAATCGTAT